TAAAGATTCCAGAAATCCACCACAAGAACAGAATATTAAAAGCAGCCAGAGAAAAGAAGCAGATCACCTACAAAAGAAAACTCATCAAAATAACAACAGACTTATCAATTCAAACTATTAAATCGAGAAGAACCTGGGGGGAAATAGTCCAAGCCCTGAAAGAAAATAACCTCCAACCAAGATGTATCCTGAAAATCTTTCAAAATTAATGAAAAAACAAGGTATTTCCAAGACAAAGAGGAACTGTGGGAGTTCATAGCCACGAGCCCAACCCTACAGAAAATATTGAAGGATATTCCAGAGAGAGAGAAAAAAAAAAAATACCAGGATTTCAGCAACAGCGGCAGTGGCCTCCATGAACAGGGAGGACAGTGGAATGAAGGAGAAAAATGGACAAATAATAACAGAAAAATAGAATAGCAGAACTGAGGCAGAGAAGATGGGCTATAATTTTGACATAGATAGCCTAGATACACTAACAAGAAGAAACACAGGCAGAGTAGATTAGTAGGCAGGATACATCGAGATGTTCCGAACAGGAAATATATTCAACCTGAAAGGTTAATAAACTGAATATCAAAGATGAGAAAATGAAGTTTTAAGAGACAAGGAACCAGAGAGAAATAGGGACAACTCGTCCAGCAGCTGCAGACAGATTGGAAAGTTATGACACTTTTGGGCAGTGTAGAACTACAAAGCTAGAAGAAAGGAAAACCTTGTGGCTTTAGTAAGAAAAGGAATACAGCTCAAGATCAAACTCAGGGGTAAAAAGGTTCAGCACACTCAGATAAATAATGGATTGACCTCCTAATCTAAAAACTAAAGGAGTTAGTGGGACCCAAAATATACAAAGCATCCTGAGAAGGGGAAAGGTGAGGAATTGCCTGAAAAAAGAAGGCAGAGGACATTGTTAATAGTGTATCAGGATTTAAAATCCACAGTAGCTTTATCACTCTGCTTAGTTTGATTTTATTTTGTTCTAGTCAGTCTATTCATACTAGATTTGAGGGCACAGATAGCTATCCCCAAAATAGCAGGCTATACCAATGTAACTATCCTTAATTTCCTATTAACTTAAACTGAAGCCCTGTATTACTTACATTGTCTTACTATGACTGATCTTATTTGAAGCCGGTTTGTTAAACTGCTGTTTTGCCTTGACTGAATTTATTCGAATTTGGTATGCTTGATGGTGACGAGCCTAAGAGTAGAGGCAACCACTCTGAAGATGACAAATTATAATAACATACCCATTCTGGTTTGATTATTAACTGCTTTTGAAGCCCTACAATGTCTCCAAAGTTGTGTTTTTATTAAAATAGCTATGTAATGCCATGTTCAATTATTATATGTCTGATGATGTGGACAACTCTGTTGAAAACAACAAAAGAAAGCATAGTAACTACTGTAGATTACCTAACATTGTGGTTTTATATGTCTTTTTCATTCCATGTTTTTCTAAGAATTTGTTTTCAAAGACAACAGTTTGCCTGGAAAAAAAAAAAGAATTTGTTTTGTTGTCTTGTTATGATCTGTCTTTCCCTATAATACAGAAAGGGTAGATACACATGTAGGGATTCACACATGGGGAGAATTTCTCAACAGTTTACAAGAACAGAGTATACAATGTACAACTTAACGAACAGACACTCTGAAGAAGAGACACTAAGAAACCCAGTGCTAACTCTGTTACATTATGATATAATATCTAGCAAAACTGTTATTCACTGTTCAGAATATTAGTCTAGTCTCTTATGCTCAATTTCAGCATAAGTAAAGATAAGGACAGCTACTATGAAGAGAATGAGGGACATAATAGCAGTCACTATTGACTTCCCTAATGTCAGGTCTTGAAGACCTAAAAAGTCTTCATTATCCTGTTATGATTAAATTAGTACTATAATGTTCAGTATGTATTCAATGCGTGTGAAGATGGGGACAACTATTTGGAAGAAAACTAGAGACAATAAGACAAACAGTAAAGATCTCTAATGGACTTACTTTGAAATCCGTGCTTCTTAAAATTGTTTCCTTAAGATTTGTTTTGTTATATTTTATTATGTTTAATCTTACTCTCTTTTAAGATATGGGCAATTCTTTTGAAGATAGCAAGAGGCATTATAGTAGCCATTGTTGATCACCTTTTGTTTTTATATCATATACTATATCTATTCTTGTTTTAACTGACTCCATTTTGTTTTGTCACATTTGGTTTTATTCTCTTCAAACAAAGTAATAAGAACTGTAGGAGTAATAAAACCTAAAATGTGTAATTGTTATTATTAAAAAGAGAGGAAAAGAAAGTGCTCTAAAGGATCTAACTGCATGCATGTTTAACAGTGTAAGACAGATAACTATACTACTAAGTTTTTGTTGGATCATTGGACAGAACTGTTTGCAGTCTTACTGGTTGAATGTCTACTTTGTATGCTTTAATTTTGTAACTTGAACAGCGACTTCTAAGATGACCATATGTAATCTATCAACTAGTGATTTCTTACTATTTGGGGTTTTTTTGAAATTCTGTATTACTTCCACCCTTTTTTTGTTTTGCCTTTTTTTTTCTTTAAATAAAATTCTTTAAAATTCCAATCTTATCTGTCACATCTCTACATACTCCATGAACTAGCTACCCTAAACACCATTTAACTGCTGAAATAATCCCTGTTATTTCTTGATGCTTGTAGATCTTCTATCTGAAACTCTACTCCCCATCTATTATTCTTCATCTATTTGCTCAGGTGGCTCCTACCCATTCGTTGGGTATCATCCTCTCATGACATTCCTCCCTAATTGTTCCAGGTCCAGATTAAGTGATTCTGTTGAATGTTTTTACTTTTAGCACTATGTAGATCTCAAGCTACCTTCTTACTTCTGAAGGAATCTTTTGTCACGTGGGTCTTTATGAAATATAAATCGGAACAGTCTGTCTGCCTCTCTTTCTCTCTCTTTGCTCCTTAAAAGCTACGATGGCTTGGTCAATCTCATGTCCCACCTAGAACTTTAAACATGAGGGGAAAAAAAGTAACAAACATGCTGGGACAGCTAAAGAGGTTTTTCGTCTCAGGAGAATCAACAGTACAGTAAGTTTCTCTAGTGGTTGTGCTGCCAGAAGCAATATCCTTACCACACAATTTATGGAATATGATCTAGGTTGTGACATTAATCATCCACATCCTTCTGGCTCCTATGTGTTTTTCAAGCCCACTTCTCCACCTTCCTGTCAATTCTGAGTGATATCTGTAGTTTTCCATTAAGTTCCTTTTCTGCTTAAATCAGCCAGATCCTCTTGTACAGTTAACAACCAAGAATCCTAATACGTGATAGTTTCCCTGCTAGAATATCAAACAAACATCGGACTACACAGTCAATGCCATTTTCTGGGTCTACTCCCTGCTACCCTGCTACTTTCCCCTAGTAAAATGGGTGGCACAAAGCAGGTGAGAAATAAATGTTTCCGAATGAATGATATAATTTCAATAGTAGTCAGACTCCACTCTCAATGGAGGGCTACTTTGCATTCCTAAACACCCAATGTCAACCACTGCCAAGGGAATCAAGGAACCCATTAGAACTATATAACTAAATTTACTCTCTTTTCATAGATTTACCAGTTAGGATTCTTCTCACCTCCTGAGAAACAAACCACAATTTTTTCTTCTCTTTCTCCATCCCCTACTCCCTGCCCCAATACTGGGGATGGAACCCATGGCCTTTGCAAGAGCTACATCCTGAGCCCTTTTTTATTTTTTATTTTGATACGGGGTCTTGCTCAGTTGCCCAGGATGGCCCAAACTGGAGAAGAACCAAAAAAGAAGTCTATTTTATGAAGGTGAGGGTTCTCCTGTAATAAATAAAAATCTAATTAGGGCTGGGGATTTAGCTCAGTAGCATAAGCGCCTGCCTTGCAAGTGCACAGTCCTGAGTTTGATCCCCAGTACCAAAAAAACAAAAAGTCTAATTAGAACCGGTGTTGAGGAAATCTCTCCTTGACCAAAGGAATGCCTACTAAACCCTGAAACCTAACTCAAACACTATTTCCAGCAAGAAATTTTTACCACAACTGGCCAGGCATTTAGCTTTAAACTTCCTCTGTACTCCTATATCTCTATTTTGGTACTGGAAAAGATGTATTTATTAATGTATCTGTCGCCTCAACCACACCTCAGAATCATCTAAAAAGTATGTTACTATCTCTAACACCGAGGATGGTGTATGGCATAATGCAAGAACCAGTACTTTTGAAGTGGAATCATTGCTTTTCTTAAAAAGGGACCAGTGCAACCCTTAACATCTAGCTTTTCTGTAAATCTCAAAATATTCCGAAATAAATATTTTTAAAGGATCCTTTAAAAATAGAACTCTGATCAGCTATTACCACATCTACCACCCGTCATGCAACTAAAAAGCATTGCTTTGTGCTTGGAGTCAGTAATTTTGCTTGTAACAAACGTGAACAAAGAATAAACAAACATTTGAGATTTGAATTTCAGCACCAATTTTGATCAAGTCAGTCTAGGCTTCAGTTTGTAAAAATATAATCCTTACCATGCGAAGTTATTCTGCTATGTGTATATAGTACAGGGTATGTCAAATGACATGAGCGGTTCTAATCACTACAGCAGTGCCCTGCACTATACTGTGTTCCAACTAGGCTAACACTTCCCCGCAAAAGAGCCCCATAATGGGGCCATGGATTTAGCTCCATGTGGCCTAGGCGCTTGCCCGGAAAGTATAAGGTTGCAAGGTTGTGAGTTCAATCCCTGGTACAAAAAAAAAAAAAAAAAAAAAGACACATAATGTTCTAGTCCAGCAAGGCATAGACCGTAAAGGTTGTGACTCAGATCCTATTTGACTATGATTATTTAAAAAACAATCCTATATATATGTCTAGGAATTCCAACCTTGCCACAAAGTCCTATTCCAGAATCGCTCAATGAAATAGGTAAACGGACCACTCAAAATCCTACTCAACCGACAGGGGTCAGCAGCCAGGGCCACTAACCTACACAGGCTAAACTTCACAGAGGGATCCGCCGGCTGGAGGGAGAGGAGGCTGTACTAAGAGAAACACCCACTGCTGCCCACAGCGGCGTCCAGCAGCCAGGCTCTCTTGGCAGAGATGCAGGGCGGGTCGAAATCTCAAGGGACTGAGCCTCTCCGCTTTCAGATTGCACCGCAGGCCACCGCCCGCACCAGCGCCGCTTTGGCCGAAGGCGGTGCGAGCTGCGGCCGGGCAGGTAGGGCACCGGGAAGGACACGCGAGTGGGTAGGCGGCCCAGAGAAGCCACCGCAGGGAACTATAAACTTAAACCCCGGCAGCTTCAGCCAGGGAGGCGTTTCTTCCCAGCAGGCAAGGACGTCCCCCGTGCGCGCGGAGGACGCGGACGAGGAGCTGTGTTTGCGCGGACAGAAGGTGCTGCAGGGGAAACCGAGGCCTCCAGGGCCGCAGCGCTGAGGGAGCCGGGACGGCGCCAGCCTGCCGACGCGGGGCACGAGGCTGCCGTCGGCGCCGGCCTGCTGAGTGAGCAAAGTGGAAGCGCGGGGACGCGGCGGGGGCCCGGGGCAGGGCTGAGGCCAGCGAGACAGCGCGCCGAGAGCCGGCGAGAGAGGGTGTGTGTCGGGGCGTGAGTCTGGGCGGGTGTCTGGAGGGAACGGCGAGCAGGGAGGGGCGGAGGCGGGAGGAGGGGGGAGGAGAAAGAGCGAAGGGCCCTAACGGGGTTCTGGGCGGCCAGCTGCCTGGCCCCGGGCCATCAAGCCACCGCCCCCAGGCCTTGCGCTGACGCTGGACGGTCCCCGCCTCCAGACCCCCCGCCCCACCAGAGAATAACTTACCTGTTTGCCCACGGAATCGCTCCTGCTCGCCCCTCTGACTGACTCCTCCGGCTCACCGTCTTCCCTTTGGGAGGAAGAGGCGGCACTTCCTGTCTCTCCGTTGAAAGACTTCCGGCGGTTCCAAGGTGTCCGGTGAATGGAGCTCCGGGTACCACAATTTTAAAAACAAGATTTTCCAATTATTTTAGTAAATCCAGTTTTAGTTCCTAGTCTTTTGCACTGAGTAGCTGGTAGCTCCATGTATCAACTCGTTTTCGCCCATCAGCTTTCACCGGAAGTCTAAACGATAAAAGAGGACGTTCTACCCCTCCCTTCGAGTAAAAAAAAAAAAAAACGGAAAGCCAGAAGAGCCAATATAAAGAGAGACGCGCGACTGACTAAAAAACGGGAGGTGTCATCCCGAGCGCCGCCTGACGTTTCTGGATTGCGTCAGAGCAAGTTCTTCGTGGGCCAGTCTCGCCTCCTTCCTGACCTGCTGTCTCCACCTCGGAGGGCAGTGCCTACTTTCCCACTTCCCCTCTCCCCTGCCCTTCAGGCTCTTGTCCCTTCTGGTGCACTGATTTAAAGATCCGATGATTATCGGCCATGCGAGCCTTTATACTGAGAAGAACCTATCAAACGACAACAAAATGGGATCCTTACTCAGGCTGGAGGGATCGGAGCCGAAGGCTAACACTAATGAGAATAAGCGGAATACAGCTGGTGGGCCAGTTTGGCCATGGAAAAATGAAAACGCCTTTGGTATTCAAAACTTTACCATACGGGTGTACGTGAATGTTAACACAAGATAGTCTCAGGAAGAAAGGGTATGGTTCAAGGATACATTGCTTACCGCCCTTTGCAAGTGCTTTCTCAAATTTCAAATTTAAAGCAGTTTCTTCTGAAACTAACAATTTGCCAGGAGGGGTGTCTTGCTGTCTTGTTGCTGGGCCAAAATACCTGGTGCCCAAAATTAAAGAGGGAAAGGTTTATGTAACTCAGTTTGTGGAGGTTTCAGGCCATACTGGGCTGAGTCCAAAGCAGGGTGGTGTACGGCAGAGCACAACAGTTGATGGTGGTGGAAAACAGTAAAAGCAGCAAAAGCAAACCGAAAGTTGCATAAGGGAAGACTTTCTGTCCCTCATATTGTGTGTAGGTCACCCACCCTAGGATGGGCGTAGCACTCACACCCAGAATCCCAACACTAAACAATGAATCAATCACAAACTAGATTTAGGCCCCTCTGAAAAGCATTCCTCCATGACTGCATGAGGCTTTGGAGGGACATTCAGACATAACAAGAGATCTATGTAGATGATGAATATATCACAGCTTGATAACTGCTGTGACAAAGTTGTTTGTAGTGATTGATGATGATAATCCTGACACAGGGTCACCAGAGGAGCAGAGGACAAACTCACCCCTGGGCTCTTAACCTGTTACTCAGAAACATGATTTGTATTTTCTTTTTAGGGATTTAAAAAACATTTTTTGCTAAAAACCTACCTTCACTTAGACCTGTAGATGCCCAGTAGGAAACTAAAAACAAAGCTTGACCTTTGTTTTGTAAAACTAGATCAAATACTCAACTCAGTATTATAGGCCTGTTAGTCATTAATGAAATGTCTAAAAACAAATAACTTAGCAAATAACTTTATTAGCCCTAAATTTGCTTAGCTTATCACCCTTCATGACTGAGAATAGCCTTGCAGAAAATCCCCAATGCCTTAAATTTGTGGTCACATTGAACTCCAGGAGATCTTTAAATGACTAATACTGCCCCAATCATAAGAATTCCTCTCAGGGGAACCAAATTACCCTCAAGCCATCAGAATTTGTAATCAACTAGACCAGTGAGGGTAACACTTTTTGAACTTTAAATGATACATAACACCCCACTGTAGGTTCCCCACCATTGGATGAGACCATTGCCCATCTCAGCTAAACCTTAAAATCTGACCTGCTTTTGTGAGTAGGCCAGTCTGATCATCAGAATGCTGGAGACCTTTCCTGTCTTATCTCACTTTCCAATTAAAGCATTTGCCTGTAAACTAATTTTGTCACTTTAGTTTTAGTTTCTATTTTCACTGAAACAATCCAAGATAGCCACTATTACAGGTGAGACTGAAGATATGACTTTTGACTTTGTTTTATAAGCATAGGAAACAGATCATAGTGGGACATTATCAGATTTGCACTTAAAAAGATAATTCTATATCTTCACACACAAATTCACACAAAACAAAATAGTATAAAACTGATCAAAGCAAGATAGTGAAAGCATTACAGGGATTCAAAACCAGACAATAGGAAAACCAACAGTGGCTACCGTAATGTAAAAAGATAATTCTAAGTAAATAGGATAAAGGTGTCCTGAAGATAGGCTTTCTTGACCAAATTACCTCTCAAGGCCAATTCCAGGTATTATGGATTGCTTTAGGTAAAAATATTACATGCAATCGGACAGGGCTAGGCCCTCAAGAGGTCAATGCAAAAGACAACAGTGTCTGAACCAAACTTCAAGAAAAAAAGGAACTACTCACTCTTGTTTCTCCCTAAAGATGAACAGCAGTGATTGATATTCTAAATAGTCATCAATCACCTTGGGTGAAGCACCAAACCTGCTCAACCTGCTCCTTCTAGGAAGGTTCTTGCCCATCCAATGTATGCTTGCTACTTCCTATGTGTCTTGCTTGCCAATTTGAGCCCCATGTAATCAATATTACATAAGTGACCATAACTACTGTAACCTCACAGGTTCACCATAGTGTTGTCTCACCTCATACCCACCTTGTGATTTCCCACTGAATGAAGATTACCTAAATGACCATACTACAAATCTTCCTGATTGATTATAGTTCTGTCCCATCTTGAAACTGCCTCACTCTGCATGGCTTTATTCACATACACTCTTGAAAAGTGGGGTTGACAGGCAACCTACCCCAGGGCTCTTCAGGTCCCTCTTAGAAGCTTTCTTTCTCTCAATAAATTCTTCCTATTCATGACCTCCATTATTCCTAAAATTCATTCCATGATCTAAACTATGTGAACTACATGTTCACAGACATCTAGCAAATAGGGGGTTTCTTTCCCCTTTATCACAGGTACAATTCAGTTTGAGTTAGAGTGCTGTCAGGCAATAGTGTCCTATCTTTTTTGTACCTTTGACAGAGAACTTTTTGTAGATATTATCTGGTTCAATTTCCATTGTAATCTACACTTCCTATTGGTATAGGGGAACAAAACTTTTGACCTACTATATGTCTAGTGTGAGTTTGTGTTATCTAAAATCAAAGAACGAGGGCCAGAGATTTAGCTCAGCAGCACAAGTGCCTGCCTGGGAAGCATGGGTTCAATCCCCAATACTAAAAAAAAAAATTAAAAAATTAAAAATAAATAAAATTGGGGGCTGGGGATTTAGCACAGTGGCGTAAGTGCCTGCCTTGCAAGCAGGCAGTCGTGAGTTTGATCCCTGGTACTGATAAAAACGAAAAAGACCAAAAAATAAATAAATAAAATCAAAGAATGAATTTTAGGAACGATGGAAGTTAAGAGCTGAAATATTTATTGAAAGAAAGCTTCTGTCTGAGAGAGAGACAGAAAGGGTCTGAGTTTTCAGCACAATAAAAGAGAGAATATAAATTTAAAAATAGCCTTTATTCCAAGGACATGGAAAGAACTCCATGACCACTGGCAGCCTGGCTTTCTCTGGCCTGGCTGGAACATGGGGCATGGAATATACATATAACCTCTGACCGGAAGCTGTGCTTAGGGCAGGCATTGATGACACACAGGAGCTGATTGGAGTTTTCTTCATGCACAAACAGGAAGGAGAGTTGTAATTAAGGCTGAGGAAGAAGCAGGAAGTGGTAGGCATTCCGTTTTGGCCTTCTGCCCCATTAGACCACTGCCATAGTTTCTACTAAGGCAAGAACCTTTCAGGGTCCTGAGTGGGTTGCCAAACATTCTGTATTTTCTAGGGATTTTTATACAGTAAAACCATGAGGTGAGGCGGGTCTAAAGAAGGAAAACTGGAAACTCAAAAGGCAGATGGGCATGAGGTGGGACAGAGCTATAGTCAACCAATAAGTTTAATTGTTCAGGTAAAATTGACTGAGTTAGTGACAAATGGGAAATGAGTTGCATATCAAGCCAGCATTCTTTATGGATCAGTGACTCCATGGGGGGCAGGGATGGTGATTCCTGGCTTCTCAGGCTGATCCATACCTAATCCCTACGGTTTATATTTAAAGATGTGCTTTTTTTTTTTTTTTCTTTTTTATCGGTACCGGGGATCAAACTCACGACTGCCTGCTTGCGAGGCAGGCACTTATGCTGCTGAGCTAAATCCCCAGCCCCTTGTATTTGTTTTGCCTTCTGTTTTGAGATCTGGCCCACAACAAGAGATGTGTGTCCCCTCCAAGGTCACAATACATTGGGTCCTCTGTGCCAGTTTCTTCAAGGGCCTGGGCCTGTCTGGCTGCCTATAATATTTCTAACTAGCTCAGCTGCCTGTAACATTCTCACCACAGTAGGAAACTGCAGTTTAGAAAAGTAAAGTGTCCAAAGATCACATATCAGTAAAACTGGAACAGACCATAAGGTCACTGTCAGCTTTTTCACTATGTTGATTCGGCTTACTAAGAGTTATTTTTAAATCCTAGTGAAAGCAGTAGAAATGTTCCTCAGAACAGGTGATCGACTTGTCAAAATTATACTTATTCCATTAACTAGCATTTCTTGGGTGCCTACTGTATATAACTAAAACTAGATTCTTTATTTTTCATGTGAAATTTACCTAATTTTTTAAAAAAATTTAAGACATAATATGACCTCAATAGCTGTCCCAACAGTTTTAACCTTCAATGCAAGATGATAAATTTCTTGACAATAAAAGTCGCTAGTACAAGACTCCTGATAAATTAGGCATTCTCTTGCTCTTTGGGTGATTTATCACTCTAAATTTCTTAACCCAGAGATTTATTTAACATGTTATCTTACCTTAAGCAGTAAAACCTGAGTTTATTTTTCAGTTCTATCATCCATTATTTTTCTGAGACAGTAAATTTACACTGTACCACAATGTTAAAGAAGTTCATTTCACCCCCTTCAACTTTAGGCTGGTAATAAGATGGTATGGCTAAAGTGACTCCAGGAATCATATGTACCGATAAAATTATTCCAAGCAGAAAGCAAAACTGCTTAAGACACACGCATTTTCTCTCCCTCTCCCTACCAACTTCCTACCCTCTCTTCTCTCTGAAAGGTTCTTGCCCTGGTATACATCACTGCACCATTATGGCGGTGGTCCAACATGGCGGAAGGCCACAGCAGGAATGCTTCCTCCTTCTTCAGCCCTAATTGCAACTCCCTTCCTGTTTGTGCACAAAGCAAATTCCAGTCCCTTCCTCACATGTCATCAATGTCTGCCCCATGCTCCACTTCCATCAGAGATCATAAAACCCTCTGCCTCTCTGTATCTAGTCGAAGGACAGAGCCCAACTGCCATTCATTGTTGCTCCTTTTCATGTTCTCAATAAAACTGGGCCTTTCTTTTTTTACTTTTTGCTTCTCTATTGCCCAAGAAAACTTGTTAACACTCCCCCCTCCCTTCCCCGTCTGGCCTCTTCCTTGCTCTCTCCTTTGACTTTTATAATTTTTCCTTTTGCAATAGTTTCATATTTAATAATCAAATTGAAAAAAAATACAAAGAACTCCCAAGTGTCCTACACTTGACAGTCGATGCCTATCTACATTTTGCTCTGTTTACCTTATTGTTTTATGTGTGTTTTTCTTGAATCATTTAAAAATACCTGGAAAATGACACCATTTAAATCCAAAATGTATTAGCATACATGTTGAAAGAACCTGGAGAATCCTTTGGCCACAGTACAATTATCAGGATTATGAATTAGCACGCTATGATATTTTTATCTAGTAATCTAATCTGATGCATATTTTATGCTTATTTTTTACCTTGTTCTCTTATATGCTATACACAATTTAAAGAATTTCCAAAAGGAATTATAGATAAAAGTTGCAGTGAAGGATAGAGAAAACAAATCGTAATACACTGTGTAATGGTTGATACATTGTGTCACTTTAAAAGTTTAGAAGTTTAACTGAGGGACTCAGCAGGGGCCAGTGTTCTCACTTTGTTAACATCCTCATTCTGTGCAAGAGGAGGGCACAGAGATTGTGAGTTCTCTACCAGCCATGAGGAACCTGGCTCCCCCGCTACACCTTTGCTCTTGCCACTGTTTTTATCTTCTGCTGTCTTGAATGCCCCTGTGCCATGCCACTCTGGCTTGGAGCCAGTTGATTGCAGACTAAAATCTCCACAAACTGTGAGCTAAATAAATATTTATTTCCTTCATTTTGGATGTTGAGTATTTTGTCTCAGCAATGACAGAAAAGTAACCAAGACAGAATTTGGTACCAGAAAAAGTGAGATCATTGCGGTGACTGTACTTGACCATATGGTTTAAGAGCCTTTGAGAATGGTTTGTAGGAAGAGTTTGGAAAGGTTTAGTAGTGATGTTACCTGAAAGAATAGAACTGGAACACATTAGGCTGTTCTGTATAGGAGATTCTAGTCAGAGCTCAGAACTTAGAGGACCAGAAGGCTGACAGAAATCTTGCCAGTAAAAACCAGATTGTGAGGTTGCTGCTGGGAAGGAAGGTTGTTGGATTCCAGATAATGTGTATTATAGCTTGATAGGAAGTTTGTTTGCATTTTGCTCTTGTTCAGAGGCTTTGCTTGAGACTGAGATTAAGGGTGGTGTGCTAATTAATCTGGCAGAAGAAATTTCAATTCAGTTGAATGTTGAGACTGTTGCATAGCTGTTGTTGAGGACTTTCAGCCAGATCTATGTTGAGCCCAACAGGATGATTGAAAATGAGTTTGGCCAGAAAAGAACCTCCAGGGATACTGTGGACTGCAAAGATTAGAGCTGAGGAGATCTTGACTGCAGAGAAGGAATGGGAGAATATGACAAATGGCCTGAGAGTATCACAAACAGCAGCAAGTCTCCACCCTTTGTAGTATTTAAACTGCAAATGTGAAAGACTTTGCTTTGAGGAGATAGCTGCAGAGCACCATGTTCCAGAATGGCAGAAGCATGGCAAATTTGTTCCTTAGATTTGGATTCAGAGTGCCCAGTGATCTAGGCATTTGACCCCTATATCCAAAAGAGAGAAAGCCTGGTTACTGCCCCAGCTGGCAGCAGACCTTCACATCATCCACATAGTGCTGCTGTTAGGTGCATGCAGAATGTAAGAGTCATTAGGTTAAAAGGGCTTTCACACTGATTTCAGAAGGCCTGGAGCCCAGACAGTGTGCCCCTGAGAGGACAGTGTGTGAAGCTATGAGTGTGAAGCCAAAGTTGCAGTGGAGGTCTCAGAAGTGTAGGAAAGCTAGGAATGTAGATTGTCTAAGGAAAGCTGACAGGAGGGAACAAAATGGGCCTAAGAGAGAAGCCACTGGATGTACAACCACCAGAGGTGCCATAGGGGTGGAGGAGTCACTCAAGCCCTTGGAAGCTAACAATCTGCCACAGATTGCTTCAGATGCTAGACGTGGCACTATAAGACTTAGTCTGCCCTGCTGGATGTGTTTGCTTTATATAATTTCTTTGCATTCCCCTATTTGTAACTTTTGGTATGAAAAAAAAAATTTTTTTTTTGGTACCAAGGATCGAACTCATGACCTAGCATTTGCCAGGCAGGTGCTTATGCCACTGAGCTAAATCCCCAGCCAGAATGAAAATATTTATCTTGTGCCACTGAATGTTGAAAGTGTTTAACTTTTTATTTGTACAGGGACTTGCAACTAAGAGTTTACCTTACATCTCAGAGGAGATTTGGGTCTTGGACTTTTCAGCAATGCTAAAAGTAGGACTTTGGAAACTCTTGCACATGGACTATATACTTTTTGCATAAAGAGATGTGCATGAGTCTGTTGGGGGCCAGGGGCAGGATGTTATGGTTTTAATGTAATATAGTATTGATAGATTTAATACTGGTTCTTAAGGATTGTTAAATCTATGTTATAATGTTCAAGTTATAAAATGATAAGAGTAAGCATGTCTTTATATCTAGAGACTGATTTAAAGCAGTGTGTCTGGCTGCCAAGTTGACAAGAGGTGGATTATAATAGTTTATACATTGTGACTACTTGAAAAGTTTGGAAGTTTGACTAAGGGACTCTGCAAGGATTCAGGGTCCTCACTTTGTAAACATTCTCTTCCTGTGCAAGAAGAGGACATGGAGACTGTTCTACATCTGCCCTGGGTGGGGCAGCCTGCTTACAATCTAAGGGAGGAAAAGAGGCTTGCTTCTCTCCCTCCTACTTCTTCTTCTCTTACTGCTTTTGCTGTCCTGGGCCTCCCTGAACTGTTTCCCTCATGCTATGCCACTGTGGCTTACAGCTAGCTGATTACAGACTGAAACCTCCACACACTGTAATCTTAAACCTTTCCTTCCTTAATTTTGGGTGTTGGGTATTTTGTTTCAGCAACAAGAGAAAAGTAACCAACTCACAATGGGAGATTTACTTCAATTATATTAATAATGACTAAACACTTCATTTAAGATAGAAATATCAGAATTAATTAAAGAGTGAATCTTAACCTTCTGTTGTCCACAAGAGATATTTGTTAAATGAAAAAGTATACTTACATGTCTTCTAACCTCCACTTCTTTCCAAAGAACAGTCAAATTTATTCATGTCTTTATGTCCCTTTATATTTCCCGGTATGCTATTTTTTCTGTGTATTTCAGATAATTTTTATTTTTGGTTTTCAACAATTTATAAGCCTCTTCCAGAATTTATTATCTTGCGAAGAAGGGAGTAGCTGGAGGATGAGTGACAGTGAGGATGGCAGGAACTATGTAACTGTGTTTGAGCTGGGTAGCCACGCAGTGAGAAAAGCATCTCTGCAAAATGCGGATATAAAGATATGCATGAGGATCAATTTGCATAATTCAATTAAGGTAGCACCTGAATTATTCTTGGAGGCTGTTGCTTCAGTTTCTGATAAGTAAACTTTTGTGCCCTGGGGACTCATAGCCTCTTTATCTTGAGGCTCATACCCACTTGACATTCCTGGAGCTGACTGAGCACTATGGGAGGAAACAGGAGACTGTCTGATGGCTTTAGAGATAACATACCAGTACTTTGGCTGACCTTATTTGCAATGCTTAGAGCCAACTGAAGAAAGAAGGAAATAACATAGTCAACTCTGTAGGTATCAGTATAAGGAAATGTCTTGATATAATCAAAGTTGCATCAATTGTTCTTCATTCAAGGGGAGTCACTGAAGTGGTCTCCACATCTACTTCTCTAAAGAGTTTCTGTTTGTTCATTTATTATGGGCATATTTTTTTTTCTGTATCTTTGAGCACAGTTGTATTAGCTGCTCTGATTTTTTTTTAAAGTATCAGGAATCAAACTCAGGACCTTGTGTTTGTGAAGCAGGCACTTACACCACTGAGCTAAATCTCTGGCTGAAATTTTGTTTATTGTTTCCAACATTTTTTTTTTGTCTTTTTCTTTTTTATTGGTACCGGGAATCGAACTCATGACCACACCCTTGCAAGGCAGGTACTTATGCCACTGAGCTAAATCCTCAGCCCCTATTTCCAACATTTGAATCACCACAGATTGTTAGTGATTTTTCTCTTCTCTTTTGATTATGAATCATGTTTTTTAATTTCTTAACTGTCTCATGTTGGTAGATTGTATCCTAGGCATTTGAAAACCGCAGTGTGGAGTTCCAATTCCATTATATTCATCTGATGAATGTGGGAGTGGGAGTGGTTTTAATTGTCATCACTCGAGTTAATGATTTTTGTCAGCACTAATTCGTTTTAACTCCTCACTTTGTCTCTTTTACAGTGTCAATATTTAAACCTCATTTAGTTCCTTGAGACTTAGCTGGAAGTATTGAATCTGCCATACACTTGCAAAGTCCAGAGATCGTCCAGGGATTTAAGTACAGTATGCAGAAGTTGGTGCTTTCCATGAACCCCACTCTTTATTTTACTGCAGAAGCATTGCAGAACTTTGCCTCCTGGTTCTGCAAGTGAGGGTGTAAACAGACGAATTAAAGCATTCTTTGTTGGTTACAATTATTTAACATTAGAAAGAATGTCTAGTCATTTTTGATGACTGATTTACTTTAGCAATGTTATTTAAAGTTCTGACTTTTTAAATTAACTTTTTTTGTCATTTATATGTTCAATTACTACTCAAATTAAAAAATAAAAATTACATTGAATACATTTAAAATTTAGACCCCTAGTGTAGTATATTTTCCACAAAAATATTATTAGAAAGTCGTGGCCCTATTATGAAATAGTTTGGGAATATCTTATTAACTGAAAGTAACTATCAGCAGAAGTGAGGAGCCAGGTATCTTGTAGAGTATGTATCTTGTAAAGCAATGTATCTTGTAGAGTAGCATGTATCTTTTTTTTTTTTCTTTGTCTTTTTCTTTTTTTTTTTTTTGGCACGATTTAACTCACGACTGCCTGCTTGCAGGGCAGGTGCTTATGCCGCTGTAGCATGTATCTTGATTGGTATTTTGTTTCCTTCTTCTACTTCTTCTTTTTTTATTTAAAGAAAGACTAAACAAAACAGAAAATAGGTATAAATAATACATGCCTTCAGAGATAAAAATCAACAGTGAGAAAGTAAGTTGATGCTTACATATTGTCATTTTATAAGTAGTTGTTCAAGATACAAAAATGGAGCATGTAAAGTGGTAATTCAAACAGCGAGACCACAAACAGTTCTGTTAAACTGTCCAACAAAACTTAGTAACATGGTTGTCAATCCTATATACTTTGTAGTTATCCATAGCTTCATTTATGTTGAGATTAAACAAATTAAAGCAGGTTAAAATCATTCTGGACAAAGAATAATAGTATTGTTGGATTTCATATCATGACACTCCAGAATCATCACTGGGTACTGTAGTGTTTTTTTTAAATTTAATTTAAAGAAAGACTAAACAAAACAGAAAACGGTACAAATAATACATAATTTTCAAAGAAAAAAATAAACAATAAGAAATCACTAGGTGATTACAGATTGTCTTCTTACAATGGTTATTCAAGATACCAAAGTGGAGCTTATAGAGTGGAGTTTCAAACAGTGAGACTGCAACCAGTTCTGTTCAACTATCCAATAAAAACTTAGGAATATGGTTATCAATCCTATACGCTTAAACATGCATGCAGTTATCTATCTTTTCAATTATGTTGAGATTGACTAAACCCAAGCAGGCTAATATCACTCTGAACAAAGAATAATACTATTGTTGGGTTTCACATTATGACACTCCAGGATCAGCACTGGGTATTTTAGTGTCTCTTTTTCTTTAGAGTATCTGTTTATTTCATCATGTGTCATATGATCAGTTCTCATAAACTGTTTATAGATTCTGCACATGTATGAGTCTTAACATGTATTTCTATCCTTTCTATATTAGAGGGAGAAACAAAACAAAGCAAGGCAAAACGAAACATATTCCTATAAACACATGAAATGAAATAAACATATAAGACTATTGTATGAGTTGTTCTACCATGGTTCCTATGTTGTCTCTTGTTATCTCCAATAGAATTGGCTATATCACCAGACATAGTATAATTGAATATGTTAGTACATAACAGTATTAATAAAAACACAAATTTGTATATAGTATAGAACTTCAAAAACCAGCAGTGAACAAACCAGAATGTGTATCTTACAGTCTTGTCATCTTCAGTGTAGTTGCCTATACTCTCAGACTTGATACTATCAATCATATCAGTTTTCAATAAAATCTTCTCTGCCTCATTTCTGTGATGCTCTTTTTTTGCCATAAGTTGTCTGCTTATCATCTTCATTCTGTTTTCTGCTCCATTCAGTGAGGCCTCTCTGCCACTGTTCCTGGAATCCTAGTACTTTTCTCTCTCTCTAGAATGCACTGGAGTATTCTCTGTAGTGTTGGACTGGTGGTCGCAAATTTCCCAAGTTCCTCATTGTCTTGGAAGCATCTTGTTTCTCTATTAATTTCTAGAGACAGTTTAGCAGGGTATATCAATCTGGGATGGAGGTTATTTTCTTTCAGGGCTTGGAATATTTTGCTCCAGGCTCTTCTTTTATTTTTTATTTTTTATTTATTTTTTTTTACTTCTTTCATTTTTTTTAATTTTTATTTTGAAAGTATACAACAGAACAAGTCAGAATAAAGCCAACTAAGATCATACAGTGAAATTGGTACAGAACTTCACAGCAGGTTACCGGGATAACAGTAATAGGTATCACAGTATATTTTGTTATCTTTATAATAGTTGTTCTTTCAATCCCGTATATCAAAATGAGATGAAATATAGAACTTATCAAAACAGAATATTGAATAGAGCAGTACCATTAATCAGAAAAGAGCAAAACAGTAATAAAAATATTTGCCTTCAAAGAAATGGTAGAAGGAAGTCCCCCTTATTTGCTGTGGTCAATCTCCCAGGAGATGATCAGATTTCTGGTTCCCACTTGCTAATGGATGGGGGGGGGGAGAAGGAGGATAGGGGAAGTGGGATATTTGACTCTAGGCCATGTAGCAGTAGGTTCACTATTGCTAAGCAGGGAGGCAGGATGGTCATTTGTTTTCACAGCGTCCTCAGTTCCAACATGGCACGGATCTCAGGAGACACTGCTGGTTCTCCCCCTGGAAGGGCTGCAGTCTGCCACCCTGCCTCCGCTTACCAGGGAGGGGAGGTGCTGGCTTGGCTTCCCAGAGTCCTAAGTTCCAACATGGTGTGGATCTCAGGAGACACTGCTAGTTCTCCCCCCCCCCCCAGGCTCTTTTTGACTTGATGGTTTTTGTCAAGAAGTCTGCTGTGATTCTGATGGGCCTTCCTTTATAGGTGATCTGTTTCTTGTCTCTAACAGCTGTTAATATTCTGTTCTTATATTGAATTTATGGGATCTTGATTATTATATGCCTGGGTGTAGCTCTGTTTTGGCTATAGGTGACTGGAGTTCTGTATGCCTCATATATCAGAATATCATTTCCTTTTCCTATGTTTGGGAAGTT